TCATTTCCTTGCTGTCTGTTTCATGATTCTGGCCGTCATTTCTCTGCTCTCTTTCTCGATTTCTTTTCAAACAGAAATTCTAATGTATCACATTCCCTACGCTGTTTATTAGCTGCCGTAATTACGACGCTCCGCAGGCTCATTCCAGCAGTCATCTTCACAGGAAATTTAGTAGTGGAAGTTAATCCAGATTGAAACGCACAAGGCTTCCCGGTGCGATCATGCGCTTTTGGACTAGACCTGAATTATTCAGGTCATTAGCTTCATGAATGGTTGTTGCTTTACACCTACCTTTTGTGCTCACTAGCGTAAAACACCATAAATTTTGCATAAAGTAAATGAACAGTTTCTATTTAACAGTCTCTCTTTGAGAGTAACCTGGCTGTTCAGTGAGCAATTTTCCCGCCAAAACTTTTAAGTGCCCGTATGTAAGAACCACGCATGCCTGAAGGCTGAATTTGGAATATTTAAGTTGTATTTGGACAAATTTCAGCTTTCTAGCTTTTCTGGTTCCCGAGTTAGCAATTTTCCGCCAAAACTTTCACTCGCCCGTACGTGGGTATCCCAGATAATTGGAAAGCTGAATTTGAAATCTTTAAGTTGCAAGTGGACAGGGGATATCCCCGCGAAATTTTAGCCTTTCAGCTTTTCTTGTTACCGACTTAGCAATTTTCCCGTCGAATCTTTCGCGTGCTCGTACGTAAGAATTACGCAGATCTGAAGACTGAATTTGAAATATTCAAGTTGCACTTGGACATGGAACATCCTCCCAAAATTTCAGATTCCTAGCTTTTCCGGTTCACGAGTTGAAAAAAGGGTGACAAAAGTGCGAACACACAGACAGCCTTTTGTCAATATGCGTTTTTGCAATTTGCATATATGCAAAAACGCATAAAAAGAGGGGAGCAAGGCATTATACATAGTCAGCAGTTAGCATGGCTTGCACACTAACAAATATTAGATGAGGTATTGGAACCGTAAAACTGAGGTGGGTAGATTACTGATGTTGAGTTTGATTGGGGACCCGTTAAGATATTTAGTTGAGATATTAAGTCGAAGAGCAATCCCGGATCCCGGTGATGATCCAATCGAAAAGACGGTGAAAGACGAGATTGAACGATGGATAGGATCCTAACTGAATAAAGGAAGCCATTATACATTAGAGACGTGGAGAGAGCGTGGTCCAGACTGTTGCCTCGTCGAATCTACCGATGTAACTGAAGCCAGACCCCGGAAGCGTTTGTCAACTCGAGACGAAGGATTACGGTATCTGAAGCAAGGGACAGAAGATAGTGGGGGCTTAAAAATAGAAAAAGGGATCGGGAAAGAAAAAAAAAAAACATCATGTATTGCTCTTTTATCATAAACGCAGCTTTGTCACAAAACAGCTACATTTATACAAAAGATCCTAAGCTTCTGGTTAAAAGCACCTAAAGCTTCATTTGATGATCATGCGAAACACATAATAATTAGAATGGTAATTCCGTATTCAGAAGATTATAATGATGTAGGTGCAGATTTTCTATCTGAAAACTTAGCTTTAAATGTAGCCAGAAGTTTAGATGCGCACACCCTATAAGAATAAATATGGGAAGGATTTGTCCGAGGAATTGAAAAAGGAGCTGTCCGGCGATTTCGAGGATGTCATTCTGGCGCTAATGGACACACCAACCAAATATGATGCCATGCAGTTACAGAAAGCTATGAAGGTATGCTTGTGTTTTTTGTGTCATAATTGTGGACTGTATTAAATAGAATATGTTACTGCAGAGCATTTTTTGTACTTATCTTTTTATTTTCATCAGAAGAAAAAGAACAACGTATGCGCCTCGTCTTTCCATCCAGGTCTTAATCTCAAAATGTCAAAACCCGTTCCGTATTTCACTCTCAGGGTGAGACGGAGGCATTCGGGAAATAGCCTGAGTGGTAGCAAATGCCAAAAACAGCAACTGCCTACTAGCAAGGCTGTTGGTAGCTCCCTCTTTTGTGGATGCTTACAAGTAAGTTTTTGCAGGTTTGGCTTTCCGGTATGTGCCATTACTAACTTACAATCGAAACGAATCAGAGAGATTGGTTGCCCCATCGGCAGACATTAGTGCTGGCGAGCGTCACGCAGTGGGGTAGCACTGTTGTCATGCAGCGCATCGAAATTTCGACTCTACCGTGCAGTAGAAGTCACACTGTTGTCACAGTAAAATGACAAATTTTGAAACATTTTTTTTCAAAAGCATCACATCTTTCAGGGTCTGGGCACTACGGAATCAACTCTTATTGATATCCTGTGTTCGCGAAATGATGATGAATTGGAGGCGATCAAGAACGAATATAAGGATGAATATGGGAAAACCCTTGAGAATGACATTGTTGGCGACACCAGTGGCGATTTCAAGGAACTGCTGCTTGCTTTGCTTAACACTCGTCGTGATCGGTCCTACAAT